TAAACCACATGGCCTGCGGTAACAATAATTATTGTAAAAAAAACCCTTGAAATCTTATATAATAGTAGAATAATATTTACATAGTTATACATAGTTTGGGTCGAAAATGAAATGAAAAGTATGAAAAATTAGACTTTTCACAAAACGACGAACGGTACAAACCGCACGCCGGCAAAAACGATGTCACCGTGCACAGAGACCGTGACCACGTCGGGGCCGTCAACATTTACTGTGAGGCACCAGCTGGGCTGCGCTATGCGGTAAGACACGCTGCGCTTGCTTGGTCAGCGGCCAAAAAAAGCGCTCACACTATTGAGTATATCTACCGCTGACTTTTGGGGGTATTTCTACTAGGCTGTCAAGGGTATATGGGAAAAAAATTGTCTCTCCTTCAGCTAACTTAAGACTGATTTGAACTTGTATGAACGACTTATAAGTTATATGTAGTATCATGGAGGAAAAAGAACAGTACGACTAATATATCGACAGGGTACGACATACCGTAATTTCCTGCGGATAAGGCGCGCGGTGGATAAGGCGCAGGTCCCTAAAATCACCCCCAAAAAATTCAAACGCCAACAGATAAGGCGCACCGCCGCATAAGACGCATGTTTGACCACACACAGAAGAACACCAGGCGTCACCCGGTGTCGGTACATCGCCACAAAGGGGCCATTGTGTTGCCTTAGAATGATCACACTATTCGGAGGATGAATTAAACCGTAACCACATTGGCTGGTCACATGTAGAGCCATGAAGAAAAGCTGTGCATGCTTGCTTGCGGTTTCCGATCCTGGCCTTCCTTGGCCTTTTGTTAATGCAGTGCGGCCCAATCAGCGGCCAAAAACGATGGTCCACGCACTGTCTGAAGATATTGCAACACGCACGCTGGATCAGATTCGTAGACTTGCCCAGTCCCTCCGAGCCAGATGTTGCGCCCTCTACCGGTGACTAATACAACGGCCACAAAGAAAAACGTTTGTATGACGGCATTGTTGGAACGAAAGCACGATCACTAAGGGGGATCAACGCATTGCGGCATTGTTGGAATGAAAATACGGTCACAATGTCTGGAGAGTTGAGCCTTGGTTGACCGCACTATTGATTGCGGCATTGAAAGAATTCTTCACACAAAGACCGTCACTTTGAACTCAAGCGACACCAGATAAGGCGCACCTGTAGATAAGGCGCAGCGATGTTTTTGTGGTCTAGAAAGTCAGATAAGACGCGTCTTATCCGCAGGAAATTACGGTATATATGTTGACAGAGTACGACTAATATACCGACAGGGTACGACATAATATGTCGCCAGGGTATGACATATCAAACATATGAAATAATGTTGACAGGTGCAGGTACGACATATAGGCCTATGTACGATCTGATATGTCGAGTCGACAGGGTACGATATATGTCGCATGTGTGCGACTTGTATCTCGTACGTACGACATATTTAATGCAACTCGTATGTATAAAAACCTACGATTTATATGTTATACTTACGACTTACATGTCATACGTACATGTCGTAGGTGTGACATACAATTCGTACGTACGCGTTAAAATACATGTGTCGTACGTATGAGAAATATGTTGCACATGGTACGAATTCAGGGAGAGATTTTATTCACCAAGTCCCTATATGACAGTTTTGTATATTTCCATCCCAAAGTCAATAGCTCGTCTCTTGCAGTTAATTCCTACAGTTGCGACAGGATTTATAGATACGAGTTAACCTGCATTCGATAAAATGTGTACGATTTGACCTGGGTCCGAGTTGACCTGTTCCCTAAATTCGCTGTCAGAATGTCACGCCAAGAGTAGCGGCGATAATGTACGCTGTTGCACCGACAATAAGCGTTGGCGGTACGTCTTGAACTGTCCAATTCGCAATACATTGGAAATAGTATCATCATTTTGAACAAGTGTTCCTTCATATTTCATTTGTTTGGAATAAAACTGGAGAAATGGTTTAAAATGGAATTGAAATACCTGGATATTTATTTTTGAGTGAACATACATGGTGTTTACGGTAATTTGCAGGGTTCATGAATATGTATGTAGCAGGTCAAAGTTTACGGGCTTTGATTGGATATCGTGTAATATATGCGCATCAGAAATTCTCGGCCGAGTTTGGCCGAAAATATAAAGAAACACATAAGGAATTTGCCACGGTTGCGTCAAGGCTATCCTCCGCCTCGACTCACTGTACAGCTGTTTGCGGAAGTGTATGTGGGGTGTACGTACATGCACACAAGGCACATGCAAGGGTTGTTGAGACTAACGGTATAGTACAACAAGTGTGTCGCGGCGCGCGCTGTGTGCAGTAGCGGGAACATGCTCATATGGGAACAAGCTGATAGCCTTGGTCAAGGCTACCCCTGTCTTGGACTTGACCTAGCTGTTTGACCCTTTGAATTTGGGACTAGGCCTCGTGTAGGTGGTCGTGGGCATTCTGACTTCAGCCGTCGAACAATCAGGATCAATGCCACCTCACCTCCTACATGAGCCTGTTTCAACTATTTCTTCTGAAATAGGCGAGTTCCCGAATTCTGTTTTGTTTTCTTATGATGTGCTTAATAATAATGTAGTGTGTTGCTTTATTGAGTTACCCTCATGGTAAATTGGTATTTGATAGCAAGATTTCATTTTAGTATTTCTAGTTGTTTAGCAAGGGTTACCATTCCTTCTATAGTTGATAGTTTAGTGTTATTGCTTAGAGGATTCTTTCTTACTTAGTTTGATAATTCATTGGGATTATTCAGTCACTGATTACGTACGATATTCTTATTGATATTAGATAGCATATGTATTCTTGATTTTGATTATGTAGTTGTAGTATATCTGCTCTGTGCTGACTTTTTGGTCTTTTTTCATTGAAAAAACACAATAAGATCTAAGGATGTATCATTAATTGAGAACTAATCATTATGTTCGTTTCTCTCATAATTCCATTGAACTTCTTCAATACAATTATTTCATTCGATTGATAATATTCTGTATCCGAGAGGATTCTAAACCTTGGGAATATGAATTAAGGCAGTGACCAGTGCAGTTTGGACATGCATTTCTTTAATAGCAATATATAAGAAGAAACAAAGAAAAGGACTTAGTGTGATTGACCTCAAAGCCACTAGAGTTAGCCTGGTCTGTAGAAAGGTTGTAAAGTTATAATTCCCAGAAGAGGCAACTAACTACTGCACTTGGTGAACTGTTTACCCATCCAAGGTTGATGTGAAATTACTTTGACGTTAGCCTTATTCATTATGTTTTATGGCTTGCTCCAATTTCCTTCATTTTTCAGTAAGCACACTTTACTGTTAAGGAGTTCCTTACTTGTTCTTTAAGTCGTTTGTCTTTTTAGGTATTTGCTTCAAATATCTGGACCATCTGTTTAGCCTGTTGGTTGTTTCAGTTGACAGATTTTTTTAATGTCAGTTACCTTTTTGATTCAGGTCAGCCTGAAGTGACTTTTGATTGAACCCTAAGCCAAGGGCTATTTTGTTTGTTTTACTTTTATTTTGTTTTCCATTCAAAATAAGATCATTCTGTAAGGTTTAGTTTTCTCTTATAGTTAGTGAATATTTTATCTTTGATTATTTTGTATTATTTTCTGGTTTAGTTATTCTTTATTATTTTAGGTTTAGTTTATAATTTTGTTGGGCATTCTGACTTCAGCCGTTGAACAATCAGGATCAATGCCACCTCACCTCCTACATGAGCCTGTTTCAACTATTTCTTCCGAAATAGGTTTGACGTCAGCATGGGCGTCGCGAGGGGGGGGGCAAGGGGGGGCACTTGCCCCCCCCCTGGAAAAGCCAACAAAAAAAAAAAAAAAGGAAGAAAAAAAAGAAAAAGAAAAGAAAAAGAGGCGCGAAGGCAAAGTGGTGTAAATTTAATGTGTTAGGGGGGGGGGGCAAAATGTCCCTGCCCCCTCTAAAACTGATAAATCGGGAATGTGTTGAGAAATACAAGCATTTTTTGACAAAATTTTTTTGGGCCCCCCTCTAGAAAAAATCCTGGCGACGCCCATGGACGTCAGCCAGACAAGAGGACCGAGTCCAGTACTACCTCCAGTAGTATTGGAGTTCCAGTCTTGAGAGCCGTAGGAGCGTCAACCTTCCCCGCCATACCAATCAGCTGTTCCTGTGTTTTGCAACCAAGCTCCGAACCTGCAACCTATCTCTTCTAGTATACTTTCTTCTGTGTCCATCCGCGACTTCCTATCATCATCTAATGAACTGAAGTTTGCGCCTGCGCGTTCGTGTGAACTTTTCGTGTATACAAATCCGGATCGCCGCTTATCATTCCGATGATTCTTTTGATGTGTGTTCCATTTAATAAGTGTTGTTCATTAATATTGGATCTTGCTTGACAGCCGTGAACCGGTAATATCATTAAAAAAGGATTTCCATTCAGGAAAGACCTGTGACAAAATTTGGAGGCACCACCCGGATTGGGTCGAATCGTTAAATACAGATTGTATTAGCAACCCACAGTCAAACCAAATAGATCAATTAGCGAGATCCAAAATTAATATTTTGCCTACATTAAGAGCTTGTGCTTATTTCCCTCTTGTGTTCTTAACATTGTGTATTGTTTGTTATACATCATTTAAGTCATGCCCGAGACAGAGGCTAAGATTGAGCAGAATAGTGATTTTAAGCAGGCATTGGATGATTTTTTGGAAGAACATGGCAAGAGTCTTGATAACATACAGATGCCCCCAAGCCAATCGGCCAAACCCACCGATGCTGAACCTACCATAAAGCATGTTCTTTCTTCACATCGCCGATGACTCCGCCTGTTCTCCGGCAAAGTCCCAGTCCCAAGCGGGGAACTGGACTATGAAAGCTGGAAGCGGCCAGCCCGTCTTCTTCTGGATGATGATAGTATCACATAGGCTGAGAAATTGAGCAGAATTGTCGAATCGATACTACCACCAGCCAGTAACATCATCTGGGCCCTGGGAAGCTCGGTTACAGCAGAGGAATGACTGGATGGGCTACAAAAAGGCGTATGGAACAACCGTAGATGGCGATGAATTGTTCTTGCGCTATAGGGAGTGCTTCCAGGCAGAAGGTGAGACAGCCTCTGACTATCTCACCCGATTACATCAGCAACTGACCCGTGTAGTGGAGGCCGATGGTGTTAATATTCAGCAAGTGAACAATGTGCGGGTGCAGCAGTTCTGCCGTGGCTACCTTTATAATGAGGAGCTACTGATGAAGCTTGATCTAAAGCGGCGGAACCTGGCTCCCAATTTCGTTGATCTGCTACGCGAAGTCCAGCGGGAAGAACAACGGGTGTTGGAGAAGGACAGTCGGAGGAAAACTGATAAGAAGGAGATGCCAGCAGCTAAGCGGGCTGCAGTGATGGCCCAGTCCACTGTTGTGAGGGAGGACCACCGAGTAAAACACTTGGAGGAGGTGGTTGCTCAGCTTCAACAGCAACTGTCTGCTGCCTTGGCATCCCCTCCAAGTGTTACGCCTAGACCTGCTCCGCGCTATCCTACAAGAGCCCCACGAAAGAGACCCATGGTGTGCTTCAACTGTGGCCAATTAGGACACAGAATGGAAGGCTGCACGAATCCCAGGGACGCAGAGAGGGTCCAGCAACAGATGATAGCACGCTCTCAGCCTCCCCGCGGTTCGGGAAACGACAGTGGCCACCAGTAGCGGGACAACTTGCGGCCAAGAGTATACCAAGTCCTATAAGGCGAGAAGTATCCAGGAAGACTACCCTCTCCCTCAGCATGAGCAGTAACCCCCTCCAAGGGCTACCGAAGAAACTGGTGGGCAACCCGGCCATTCTTACTGCTGAGATAGAGGGTACTGAAGTCCCATGCCTTATGGATACTGGGTCCCAGGTAGCGTGCATCGCTGAGTCCTTTTACAGGACTCATCTTCGTCATCATCCACTATAGCCCATCACCAATCTTCTTGTGGTAGGAGCTAGTGGACAATCGGTGCCTTACCTAGGGTACATAGAGGTGAAAGTGCGATTCACAAAAGAGACGGCTGGAGTTGACATGGAAACCACGACGTTGGCACTGGTCACCCCCAGCCGAGATGGCAGCAACCAAGCACCTCTCTTTCTAGGCACGAACACCAGCATTGTTGGGAGGCTGTTGGAAAACTGCAAACAAGAAGCTGGCCCAAACTTCCTCCAGAAGTTACAGGTAACCAGCGCTTGGATGGCAGCCTACCTCCAGATTTAATCTTCTGCCATGACAACTAGGCCAGACGGCAAAGTATCAGATGTTCAGCTTCTCAGCGGTCCTGTGTCGATAAAGAGGGGCAACCATGTAGAACTACAAGGCTCAAATGATAACCCATTCCAGGCGGAGGCAGTGATTATGGTTGAGGCCGATGAAGGCTGTTTTTCCCCTGGTGGTCTGGTCGTCCAACGGACAGTAGACGTCATTTCCCCAAATTCTGGAAGCAAGGTGGCAATGATGGTGAAGAATGAGTCCGAGCATGATATCATTCTCCCAGAAGGTATCACCATCGCCCATGCTTATGCTGTGGAGGAGCTTCGGTCCTTACACCCAGATAAATTGGATGAGAAAGTCACATCCCCTAGACATCAGGCCAGTTGCACAAATATTGAGGTCCCAGAGGAGCAACCACTTGAATTTGACTTCAAGGGTTCGCCAATTCCAGAAGAGACAAAAGAATGGGTCACCCGGCTCTTACGGGAGAGGTTGCAGGTGTTCTCCAGAGGTGATTTGGATATTGGCTGCACTTCAGCAGTCAAACACCAAATCCGCCTTTCTGACGACTCGCCCTTCCGTGTGAGGTCACGGAACATCGCCCCCGCAGGTTACTTAGATGTGAGAAGACATCCGAGGGAGTTGATGGACCGTGACATCATCCGCCCTTCCGAAAGTCGGGGCTGGAGTAAGCACTGATCCCGATAAAATTAAGGCAGTCAGGCCCTGGCCCACTCCATCTAATGTCCGGGAGTTGAAGTCTTTCCTCAGGTTTACAGGATACTATAGGAGGTTCGTGGAAGGATATTCAACAACTGCACGCCCACTCCACCAGTTGACAGCCCGTTGTGACCTTACAAGGAAGTTTAAGAAAGGAGACAACGGAAGGCCTTAGTCCGCAGTGCCAGTGAGCCCTTTGGAGATAGATGGACACCTGCATGCCAGTCTGCCTTCGATGTGCATACAGACAAGCTTACTACAGCCCCAGTTCTCGGCTTTGTGGACTATGGCTCTCCATTTGTCCTCCACACCGATGCCAGCTTGACAAAACTCGGCGCTGCATTGTACCAGGAGCAGGACGGGAAGCTGAGAGTCATTGCCTATGCCAGCAGGGATCTATCGCGTAGTGAAGCCAACCATCCTGCCCATAAGCTCGAGTTCCTGGCCCTGAAATGGTCCATGACGGAGAAATTCCATGATTATCTGTATGGCGGGAAATTCACAGTGTTTACAGATAATAACCCACTGACCTATGTGTTAACATCGGCCAGACTTGATGCGACTGGGCAGCGATGGTTGGCTGCACTGGCAAACTATGACTTTCGCATCCAGTATTGCCCAGGAAGAAAGAATGCTGATGCTGATGGCTTGTCAAGACGGCCCCAGTTAACTTCACCTATAGATGAAGACTCTGATGGGAATGACGAGCGCCTCCAGCAGCTAAGAGACAAGATCTTGGGTGAAAGTGATGTCAAGTTAAATGAGTCAGTGGTGGCTGTTTTGTGCCAAAGTGTTGACCAACGTCCCAGTAGCACCCTTTTGGAGACCATCAGGGATTCAGCGAGTGCGGTGCCTGAAGGCTTGGAGGGCACAGGGTGTCAAGGTCAGGACTCCCTCCCAAGCTTAACAAGCAGGGACTGGGTGGGTCTTCAGCACCCTGACGAAGACATACGGTATGTCATCCAATGCATGCAGGCGGGAAAGCAGCCCGATGCCAAGGAGCGTTCAGCCTTAATGGATGGGAAGAAGATTCTACTCCGACAGATCAAACAACTTGTGCTCAAAGAAGGTGTATTGTTCAGAATGGCTCCCAGTACAAATGAGTCCCCACACAAACAGCTTGTCTTGCCTAAGAGCTACAGGTTCCTTGCTTTTGATGGAGTACATGATCAAGTTGGTCACTTGGGCTTGGAGAGGACCCTGGACCTGGCGAGGGCTCGTTTCTATTGGCCCAAAATGGCTGATGATATTGAAGAATTGTGTCGCATCTGTCCTAGGTTGTCTCCGTCGCAAGAAGAAGATGCTCAAGATGGCACCATTGGTATCCATCAAGACGACTCATCCGATGGAGCTCGTCTGCATGGACTTTCTGTCTCTTGACCCCGACGATAAAAACACCATGAACATCCTCGTCCTGACGGATCACTTTACAAGATATGACCAAGCATTCCCCACAAAGGACCAGAAGGCGAGGACGGTAGCCAAGGTGCTTTGGTAAGAGTGCTTCGTCCACTACGGCTTCCCAGAGCGCCTTCACTCCGATCAAGGGCGAGGCTTCGAATCTAGGCTTATCCAGGAGTTATGTCATCTAGCAGGGATTTGGAAGTCACGCACAATGCCATACCATCCGCAGGGGAACGGCCAGGTTGAAAGGTTCAATCAGACCCTTATCAGAATGCTCGGGACCCTGGATGCAGAGAAGAAAAACAAATGGCGCCTTCATGTGAAACCTCTGGTACATGCTTATAATTGCACCAAGAAAAGTGCTACCGGCATGTCCCCAAACTCCTTGATGTTTGGACGAGAACCTCGCCTGCCAGTCGACTTACAGTTTGGTCTACTAATCTCCAGGCATGAAGCAGTCAAACATCACAAGTATGTACAGGATCGTAAAGATCGCTTGCAGCGAGCTCACCAGATTGCTGCTGCTAATGCGGAAAGTACGAGATCAAGTGCTAGCAGTTGGTGACAGGGTGTTTGTGAGAAACGTGGGCCTCACCGGAAGACACAAGCTTGCTGACCGATGGACAAGCACCAAGTACCAAGTGATTTGACGGATCAGTGACGACATGCCTGTGTATGTTGTGAAAGAACTGAGAGTGGTGACGGAGCGACGGAACATGCTGTTGCCTTGTGAAGTTGTGGGTTTCTTCCCGAAACTCCGGTATTGCCTACACCCCCTGTTGATCCGAAACCAACCCCCAAGAGTTTCACCACGCCTGCCCAGACAAGGGAAAGACCAAGAACCGACGAATCTGCTCCACCCTCCTTCATCATCTGCTAGACTTGCTACAGATTCTGATTCATCTCCATCTGTGGTAGTGAACGAGAAGAAGACACAGCCAGTACCAGCCCCAAAGAAATTAATTCGTTGTGTGGTGAGCAGTAAGGATGATTTGGTGCCTACCAATCAACTGGATCCAGCAGCCCCACAGTTTGTTCCAGTGGAACCCCCAATCGGTACTGTTAGTCCAACTGATAAGTTGAAAGTACTGGACCTACATCCACAGAAGCTGCTGCACAGTCTGAAGATGAAACTCACGTCTCCCTCCCAGAGGCAAAGAGTTCCACAGAGCCCAGTACTTCATCGTCAGACGAGTCAGCTACAGATAGTTCCCCAACCCGAGGCAGACGCAGATACCCGGTCCGAAACAGGAGACCACCTGATCGACATGGGTGCGGTGGATTGGGATTATCCGAGACAAGATTAATTGAAGAGCATTTGGCAATTCAAAAACAGAGCTTAGCCCTGCTTCAGTCCTGCCTGTTGCCTGCTTGAATTCACTTGTATCTGCTTTCAATTTATTATTTGTCATGCCGGGACGCCATGATTTTTTAGAATGTCAGTTACCTTTTTGATTCAGGTCAGCCTGAAGTGACTTTTGATTGAACCCTAAGCCAAGGCCTAGATTTGTTTGTTTTACTTTTATTTTGTTTTCCTTTCAAAATAAGATCATTCTGTAAGGTTTAGTTTTCTCTTATAGTTAGTATATATTTTATCTTTGATTATTTTGTATTATTTTCTGGTTTAGTTATTCTTTATTATTTTAGGTTTAGTTTATGATTTTGTTGGGCATTCTGACTTCAGCCGTCGAACAATCAGGATCAATGCCACCTCACCTCCTACATGAGCCTGTTTCAACTATTTCTTCCGAAATAGGTTTGACGTCAGCCAGACAAGAGGACCAAGTCCAGTACTACCTCCAGTAGTATTAAAGTTCCAGTCTTGAGAGCCATAGGAGCGTCAACCTTCCCCGCCATACTGTTCAGCTGTTCCTGTGTTTTGCAACCAAGCTCCGAACCTGCAACCCATCTCTTCTAGTCTACTTTCTTCTGTGTCCATCCGCGACTTCCTGTCATCATCTAATGAACTGAACTTTGCGTCCACGCGTTCGTGTGAACTTTTCGTGTATACAAATCCGGAACACCGCTTATCATTCCGATGATTCTTTTGATGTGTGTTCCATTTAATATTTTTGATTCTGTTGATCATTGTTAATATGTGTTGTTCATTAATATTGGATCTTGCTTGACTGTCATATCGACTTGTAATTCGTTAAAATTTCATTTTGTAATTTTGTCTGCCGTGAACCGGTAATATCATTAAAAAAGGATTGCCATTCAGGAAAGACCTGTGACATAAACATTAACAAAGGGACTCAGAAAAATCCACAGTAAGTTCACCAACTTAGAATGAATGGCTTTTGCTGACAACCGTAGGCTATACATGTATCATCAAGCCAA